TACAAAACCTCGTGCTACGTTTTTTTTTTTTACCACAAACCTGCCGTGCTCTAGCAATCACTTATCTTTATGTTACACAACACTTGATTTCGGTTTTAGATGTCTAAAGATACCCAATAAGTATAATGGGAGCAGATACTAATACCTATAATGGCTTTTCTTTGCGTTCAAGATCACAAAGAGCGCTTTTCTTATCAAATTGAAACCTTCTGTCTCACGACTTCAAACCGTAGCGAAGATATTATTTTAATTGTGACACACATGCGACGGACATTTCTTCAGTCAGTCCTCCAGAGTTAATGGAATGGAACTCACATTAGGAAGATTGCTTTGCACTTAGTAGGTTTATTTTTTAACATTAAGTTTCTGTTGTTACGTCTTTTATAGACAAGAATTGAATTAGATAAACAGGCGCTCAGTGAAACGGTAGGTTTTCGTTCTTGTGTTCTGTAGTGCTTTGTAAAAAAATCAGTTGCTTGCGAGCACTTTGCGAAGTGTTAACCCACTCAGACTGCGATTAAGGAGGGGTCTTTGCTTTCAGCGTTATGAAGTGTTTCCGATTCAATTGGACGTTAAGCGTTTGCACACATAGAAAACTGTTTTACACGCGCACGTGCACATAGTCAGATGTTGCTTTTGCATTTTTCGAAGCGAGTGTTGAATTATATTGCAGCAAAAATCCTCATACATTAGCTTTTTTCGTTTGACAAAATGAAACAATTAGCATGTAAATTTATGTCAAAAGTTTGGGGTTTCGTGAATCCAATGCCTCGTTCTACAAAATATGTACGTTTATCTTCGTGCCAGCTGATAGAAGTGCAGTCATACAGATACGAATATGCCACTTGTTCAAGATCGAAAGCCCTGGGACACAAATTGGTTCCATTAGTCACTCGAAATAACAAGTTGTAAACGGGCTCAAGATTAAATCTATGATAAATGAATCACATTAAGGAAACCAGCGTCTATGAATCAAGTGTTGCGAAGTCGATGGTATAAATCTCCAAGACTGTGGCTAAGGTTCTTATTTGTGACTACAATCCCTGTCTTTTAAGGTTCAGCAAACAGATCATCCAGGTCTTTGCTGTCTGGCCCAAATGATGGCTGAGCTTCTTTAACCACGAGTCCTTAAATCAGCCGGACTTGTATGTACAATTGAAGCTTCATTAACGAGTGGTAGATTTAATACCTAAATAAGTCTGACAGAAACTGAAATCACTCGCCTCATATTGATCATGCGAGTAAGAAGATATCGCTTTAGCTGGGAGACTATCTTTACGACGCTTGGCATTAGACCTCGTCTTAACCCATCTCTTTCATATACTTGTAGATGAAGCTTTTATCGAGCCGCTTAAGATGAAAATATATATAACCTGGATTTCAATTTAGCTTGAAAGAAATTCTTTTTCACCCTGTCATGAAATAGTTATATTTCTGGTTATATTCTTAAATAATCAACAATTATCAATTAAAATGAAATGGAGACACAGATCTTGAGGAAACTCACTACAAAGTGCATGAATGCGTGGGAAGTGATAAGCTGACACGTTTATATGTGTGTGTGCTTATGAGTATATGTTAATTCAGGCACGGGCCTACATGTAAATACAATAAGTTGTGTGCGTTAATTACTAGCACCATTCAGTACTGCGTATAATTCGTTAGTGAATGCGAGTCAGTACCTATGCGTGCGTGACTGTGAGACAGTATACAGACCGGGCATAGGCTGGTTCCCGGTGTCAGTGGGCAGAAAAACTCCTGTACACAGGCTCCTGTTTCTAGTGACATGTGCGGGTAAGCCTCGTTATAGATGTCGACCCACTTACATCATGCTTACCCTAACCTACACGAATCTTATGTTACTCGGATCGACTCTCAGTTTCGTCGCACCGAGCTGGGAAAGATTATATACACCAGGCATAAACACACACTGTACCTTCTTAAATAACCGTGTCAATACAATTTCTAATTCTAAGAGACCATCTAAAGCAAAGAACGTGTACTAAATGTAGCAGTTGTATAATGAACAATGAATATATCAGACCAAAATATTGACTTATTGTGAGCAATTACCAAAACCACACCGTTCGCTTAATTAAATAGCGAATTTTGAATTCGTTCGACGCAACTTGGCTGGACATACAACATAGTTAGACTCTGGCGCGTCTATTCGACATATCAGTTTAACAAGGTATGCCTGAAATGTTTATAAGATATGTGTTAAGCTCCAAAATTGACGACCGGCCAGAACGAGATAGTAGAAGAACTATTGGCATTCGATATGTTGTTTTCACGTGTTATAGAAATGCATCTCTGCGTTTTCCTCCAGTCGTGTGTGCAACACAGAGATAGAGCAAATCAGCTAGGATAAAATGTAACTTTTTCTTTAGCATCACCATTGTTTGGAAACACACAAAATGGTCATTATGACCATTTCTGCACATATCAAGAATCCATTTCTTCCGTGAACCAAGCTTTCAATAATCACCAAGGAATAAAGTAAAATGATAAAAATGTTTCTGTCGAGCACAGGGCATCGTTAGCTATCCCTAAATAATATAATAGAACATGTCATTAAATTCATTATTAAAGCGGTCAGACTTTATTTATCTTCATAATGCGGGTGTCTAGAGTGATAAGCGTCATGATATGACTTAAATGTGATCCAGCCTTCAGTTGCATAAAACGGCAAATTTTGAGAGCACGTGCAGTGAAAAATAAGGTGTTATTTTACGATGACTTTTGGTCATACGAAACAAAAAACAAATGATTTCGGAAAAAGCTTTAAAAAATTGCTTTGAATCAGAGGGAAAAGCTTAGCCAAAATGAGCCATTAAGGGAAATGTTCCCCGTCGAAAAACTTCGAAGCTGCTATCAAAATCTGCATAACTGGAATACTTTGCGCCAACCATCTGCCTCCTGTGTCTTAAAAACGCCGTATTGATTGGAAGTCCAAACGCAGGCGAAATTTCAACACAGTTAAAAAGATGAAATGCCACCTACAGATATTTTTAGAGGCGACCGTAACAGATGAGGTATTGCAAAGGTCATCACACTACGCCGAGTGTAGAGTTTGGTTTGGCAGCCTCATGCGGAGAGTTGAAATTCTAACGACAGTGATAAAATTAAAGTGCGTGATCATAAAATTAAGCCACACAGGTGCACAGAAAATGCTGCACTGCATATCTGCAGTACATTTTGAGCAGGCCAAGTAATGCAAACCAGATCTATAGCTTTAATTTGGCCAATATGTAAAGAAACGATAAATGTATTATAATGATAATAATGATTATTATGATTATTATTATTACAATATTTTGCTGTGTAAAGAGCTGACAAATGCAACATTGCACCATTAATACTCAATAAGCTTCTCTCCATTAAGATACACTCGATGTTAACAAATTCAGTGAACACTTCAATTATTTTACCAAATGAATCTGGATGACATTTTGTGCAAACTCTTGTTTGTAACCAACAAGATTAAGCCAAGTCCGTGGACTGGTGTGGCTAAAAAGCTATCAGAACTCGAAAACAAAACGGGTTTTATCAAAGGAAATCGTTTCAGAACAGAGCGGCACTTACAGAAAAACAAAAATTTGAACAATGTTTATATGTAGATCGTGTTTCGTTTAACAGACAACAGGTAATGGCACGACCTCCTACTAGGTAATGGCAGGACATTCTACTATGTCTTTATAGTGATGTATTGCAATCGAGTGTTTGCGTGAGTTTTCCTCTTTCTCAGATCTACTGAGAAACAACATGGTCCCGGATTCTTGAATGGACGGGGAATCAAGCAGTAATGAGAATAATGGAGCAGTTTAACAAAGAGGACATGCAGCGATATTACTGGCACCATCCACGATGGTTTTGCTTCATTTACATCTATGAATGATGGCATTCGGGTTCAGTTCTAATGAACCGCGAATACGGGAGTCATGCTTGGGTGCAATGAGGTGGCGGAAACAAAATACTTGTATGTTATAGGTCTCGCACAGAATAATAACGGCATTGACTTGTGACCTTTACCTGTACATTTAGAGCTTGACCCCTATTGGGAGTGCCACTAATAGTAACAAAACGAGAAGCATCGCAAAAAAAAAAAAACTTGGAATGTCTACCGACGGGAACTATGCCCATTTCATGCGCATCCAGGTTATCCAGGGTGCAGTTCTAGCTACGTGGAGGACCTCCCTTCGCCCTGAATTTCACATATTCCTATAAACATATCTTAGCAATCAAAACCCCTCTGGCGTCTCCACTGACTGAAAGTTGACGTTATATTAGCTTACAGAGATCTTTGAACCCCCGCCGTAGTGAACGCACCAACGAAAATGACCGACACCGAAAAATTGGCCTTACTTCAGCAAAAAATCCCCCAAATTTGTATGAGCTGATAAACAAACGAGCTTAAAGATCTAAACTTTAAGGCAAAAAATCTGGTCACTTTTTCAAAAATGAATCCCTGGTAGGCCACCTAAGTAAAGTGAGTATTGGCCTGGAATATAATCATACGAGTTTAATTTTTAAAACCGTTTTTCTTTAGTCGATTATTATTCTATGTTGGGTCAAAGGAGACTGAAGTTTTGGTCTGATAGTTAAAACCAATTTAACTTTAACTAAAGCTCTATTATGAAACAGGCCCAGGTGTGACAGGAATGGTAGTCCTACATTGTAGGAATGAAAGTCCGTGGCCCTATACGGTTAGTACGGGTTAGCGTTAACCGGAGTTTTAGGGTTAGTATAGGGGACGAATGTCACCTGTACAAAGTAATGGGGAGTGGACTACTTCCCCTGTCACACCATCTCCTCGTATAATGAAAAATAAGGACCGGGTACCCTTATAAGGAATAATTCCAAACAGACCTAACTAGGATGAAAAATACCTATCATAGTGAACGGAGACAAATAATCTGACTACATTACCAGTATTTTGCCGTATTTTATTAAATAGCTGGCCCTTATTCATATTTGAAAATAGACAGTAAGTTATTTGTACTACACCAGTCTTGATTTCAGCACTTACCAAAATATTTTACAAAAATGCTAACGAGTTACAATGCGCAAGCCGTCCATTGCAATTCGGTTGGTGGCTGGTCCATAAACAAATATTGATAAAAAAGCATTTAGTCATAAAGCAACTCAAAAGGGTAATTTAAACAAGAAATGAACACATATCCTTATCCCTAGCTATGAAAATAAATCCTTGAAATTTAAAACAAACACGTTTTTTCCCTTTAGAATGCCTCTATTTTCCTCTTCTCGCGTCCAAAATCATGTATACTAGTGCGTCTATTTCACTAGTATCACAGTGTTATCTTTAACAACTTTATACCCAAAGCCACTGCAGAATATTTCTTTCAGTTCTTGTCTAAACCGTTTACCAGTCAGACAATAGAGAAGGAAATTAATAGAATGGTTCGCGTAGTTCATCATAATCACTATGGCCTCCACGAGGTCGTAGCGGGCAATGTCCAGCGGGTCATTGACACTGGTCAGCCAGGCTTTGGCCAGTATGCTGTTCAAGACGCCAGGGAGGGAGAGAAGGAGGAAAGAGAACGACACGCACACCAACATGATCGTCATCGACCGGACGTATTTTTGACTGGCTTTCTCGCGGGCGTTTTCTTTTTTGCTGTTGGCGGTGTCGGCTCTGCTGCCTCGCCGCATTTCCACGCGCCTGTTGTGCATTTGCGCCAGGCCCCGTATGATGCAAATGTTAAGAATAAGCATGGTTACGAAGGGACCTCCAGCGTAGACCCCGAATATTATCCATGGGAGGACGTACCCCCAAAAGTACTCAAAGGCCGGGGAAGGGTAGCCGCATAGGCTGACAAGTTCTGTGACGTTCCCTGCCTGTTTGTACTGCGCCCCTCGAGTCCAAAATACGTGGATATTTTGCCCGAATGATATGAAAAGCAATAAAAGCGCCACCCTCTGTGCTCTCTGTACTGTGCAGAAACTCCTGGCGCGAGTCGGCATACATATCGCAATGAATCGTTCCGCCGATACAGCAACCAGGATCCACGCTGAGAAATCCATACTGCAGTACAGTATAAATCGATGAATCTTACAGAAAATTGCGTCTAATTTACGAATGTCCATGTTCTCGTAAACTTTAATAGTATGGCGGGTTAAGCCCACCCAATTAACGACCAAATCGGACGTGGCAAGGAGAGCGAGGTAGAGTCCCATTGCCGTTACTCTCATGGTCGGCCGTGACATGACGCATAAGGACAGCGCATTCCCTATCGTCCCCAGTATAAGCAGACCCGGCGGGAAAATCTTCCAGAGAATCTGCGCGGCATGGTACTCGCCAAAGTCCTCAACGGTTAAGTTTGTGTATTTCCCCGCGTTCCCGTTGAGGGTATGATTGTCCAATTCTTCCTCTATGACCAGAGACATCGTGCAATGTGCTTCTCTAGACGCGCAGTCCACCGCCTCGCGAGAGCAACAGGTATTTAATAAATGCGTCGCAGCACTCGAGTACGTCCTGCCCGCACAATTCAGCGTGATGATTCTTGGGTTGCTGTCTGTTGGCGCACTTTATAATATACCTCTCTTTTACGTTAAGGTTATTGACTTCGGTCAGTTTATATGCGTTCTTTAAAGTACCCTCATTCTGCAGTTAGCGAATCCGATTGCTTCACATCGTAATAAATGTATGAGAATATCGCTTTTACCAGACTTAAGGACTGTTACCTATTAAGCATCAAATAGAACAATCAGGACGGCCTTTGAATGGCTGTAGAAGGTGCCTGCGCAGTATATGCAATCCTTTCTCACGCAAAGACTGTGTTTCAATGTTTATTAGTCCCGTGTTACAGAGTGTTGTTCAGCTTTCTACCAGATAGCCTGTTTACGACTAATATGGTGATTAATATATTGCGTTTCTCCCTGGTTTCTGTAATTGCCAACACGACAGCATCAAACTGATCGCTTTCGTTTCTCTGATTTGGAATCAAAGCCGTTTTCCGACAGTATAGTCCTGATTCATTCAAATGCTATAATCAAATCAACGTCAAAAGTACGTGGTATATGGCCCAGTAGTATGGTCTATGTAACGTTTCCGCTATGGAGAATGATGAGAGAGACAAGGTGGCTGCCTCTTTATTGCCGACGCGGGGTCAAATGTTACATACAACCTTAGGTGTAGGCCTATGTTCTGCCGACAGAACGTGCAACCAATCTTCGAAGATTCGCAATCGCTGTGTGCCTTTTTTTATTTTCTATTACAGAGGACGTTTGACGTACGGGTTTAACTCGTTACAAGTTCAAAGGCAGTTTCACCGGCTCAAAAGAGCCAATTCCACAAGGCCAGTTTTTATCAGTTCCACTGTAGTCTTTGAAAGATGTCTCTATCACGATCAAAGGGATGCTCACTTGAATTGATTGCTAATGACACCGAGGAAATACGAAAAATGATACCCAGATAATGATTTTTGATGCCACTCCTTGGTGATTTTTAATTATTCTATTCTTCAGTTCTAAGAAGAAGCGATTGTATCTTATCTTCTAAGGTATCTCGGGGTCAGAAGCGCTGCCATTTTGTCACCTTGTCACGTGGTACAGTTTGATACCTTTGCGTGAATGTCCAAATGTTATCTGAAACAAAAGTCAAAAACATTAAATAAAATCAATCACATTTCAAAGATCATATATAATAAAAACCTACGAATTTTCAATTCACTAGCTGTTTCATTTGTGCCACTATACATTTCACTAGGGCACATGCACATCGTGACACATATACGATGTATATCAGAAATGGGCAATACGCCCACAGCATCAGGGCGCTGTTCTAAATGAATCCTTCACAAAACAAAGTTCTGCAAGTCAGCTAAATTTACATAAGATGACTACCTGGACCAAGTTTCACAAAAAAAGTTAGGCTGAAAATCGATCTAAATTTTAGGCCGAATTTGGTCTATTTCAGTCTGCGGTAAATCAAAGTAGTCCGTTCAATGACGGTAGTATAATAGTCTGAAACATTGGGCATGTCTTTCCAGACCAATACTGATTTATCTTTGGTTAAAGTACGGTAGACTCTTAGTTTTGTGTATAAGTTTATACCTATTCCGGGCTAAGGGTCTTTTCTTTAACCGACCATAGGCAATATACCGATTTCTACACAAAACTATAAAGTATTTGGACATAAGGTTTAGCCTCATAAAAAACGGGAAAGCTAGATTGGGAACTCTTTTAAGACTTTGCATGATTTTTAATGCAAGTTTGCTGTAATATACACAGACTGCATCCTCATCCAGGCACATACTGTACTGTATTAATATAGATTGATGCTGCGTTCAGTAAAGAAAAAACTTTCTCAAAAATTTGCTAATTTCATCTTAATGTGTATGAATAACGAACTGACTGATGAAAAGTGACAGCGAAAAATGTGTGCTACCTGCAATTATATGATTATGTGTTAACTGACGTTTTGTGAAATTACGTAATTTAAGTCCATTAAAAGTGATGATAATGTTAGCGGCGGCAGAGACGGCTACACTGAGTAACTGTCCTTAGCAAAATATCGGGCCTGCTGCAAACGCTCTCGCAAATTTGCTGCAAATTTGCAAAAACATGAATACTTTCTTTCAAACGTACTGCAAACTTTAGATGTACTTGCAAATTTGCTGGAAATTAGCAGCAATATAATTTTTTCTTGCAAATTCCTGCAAACTGGCTACCTCAAACTTTCAGTTTGCAGCACCTATGCTGCAATATTGCTGCAAACTTTTCATTTTGCTATAAGGGTGGCTCTTACGGCACCTATAATGTGGTCTCTAAACATACCCAGATCTAACAACATCAATTGTTGTAGCTAAGGTCGGCAACCCAGCTTCTAATTTCTTGACATCCAACAACATCGATAGTGGCATGACTGGTGGTGTCAAAACCATTCGTCTCTCGTTGGTTAACATTTCCTCAACTTAAAGGAACGATTTTGAGTGTGTCTTCTGCATTCTTTTGCAAAAAGAGCGCACGTTTCTGGAGCATTTTGATAGATTATATCTAAAGCCAAATCGGAGTTTGTATTGATAATGAAGATCTGGTTCCAAAGACCTGGATTCCAAAGCCAATACCAAAACCTGGGAGATCCGTTAATACAATCATTCTTGAATTTCATTATCAAAATTGTATCCATCTACATATTCTAATCTGTTGAATTCGCAATAATGGAATCTTTCAGTACAATAAATGGTTGGCTGTTTTTGTCAGCATTGTATTTCATTCGTAATTGCCTTGTAAAAAACGTGAAACCTATTTCTTATCTTTCACCTTGCTAGACTTTTATCTTATCACTCAACGGAGGAACCTCTCCAAACCATCCTTATATCTGAGATATTTCTCACATCTGCACCACTGAAGATTGCCATGATTTGTTGTAATTGCAATCCGCTCCAGCTTCTCCATAATTTAATTGTAATAGTTGCATTCCCTAGACAGGAACATAACTATAATTAGTCGATTACCTTATATTAAAAATTTAGATAGATAAATGGATGTGTTCCTTGCACCGAGCTGAGTAGAGAGAACCCATACATTATGATTTGATTGATGTTTCTATCATAAGCGTTAAACTACAGATAGGAAGGATAAAACAGACCTTTGATACGTATGTGAATTGACAGTGTGTGAGACTGTATGTTTATGCGTGGATGCACACGTGTGTGTGTGTGTGTGAGAGAGAGAGTGTGTGTGTGTGTGTGTGTGTGTGTGTGTGTTTGTGAGAGAGAGAGAGAGAAAGGGAGGGAGAAAGACCCGTGCTGACTATAATAATGTTAAAACACAAATTATCTATATAACTGTTACTAATTTAATTTTAGGCGGTTAAGGTCGATCGGTTTTCTTGCAAAAATATAGGCCTAATTTAAAGGAGAAAATATGCAACTATGCATTTTCCCTAGAAATGAAAAGGCTTTAGGTACAATTGGGTCTCTTCGTTACTTGGCCGTCCGATAACACGCTCTGTGCCCATTCCAATCCGATCTCAGAATCAGACAAAATAAACAACTCCGCGAAAAAGATGCATTTTTGAACTCCCCAAGTGAGTTAAACATTCAGCTAAGATAAAGATTTTTAGCTATATAAACGTGCCAGCCATCCCCACAGATTTGAATTCTGGGCCCCTCAAGAATACTGCGTTGATCAATAGGGGAGAGAAATGCAATGTATGGACGAACGCCTGGTCAGTTTGGAAGACGGCTTGGTTACCCGTACGTTTTAACCGTAGAGGTTGGGCAGGGTAAAATAATAGGAAGAAGTAAAAAATTGTTCAGACGAGGATTGCATTAGCCCGAAGGAAGGGCCAAATGAGACAACTAGGATGTTAGGAGGCGCCACTTCGCTCCGAACTTCCTTATCCCAAAGTACTCAACCATAAGTAGTCAGCCATCTAGTACCGCGGATAAGTTATATTTTCTAATCAAGTGATGCGTGTTCAAAAGGCACGCGTGTGCTTTCTAAACTCAGACAGTCAGCCACGCAAAGTCGGCTCGATGATTTCAATCTCACTCTTTTTTAACAATTGCCATTTAGACTGTATAAGGTAGTCCCGTTTAGTCCCCACAATAATCATAAAATGATAACAAAGAGATTTGTATTCGATATGCGTCTCTTGTGTTTCAATCAAGACCGAAAAGATGATGTAAGTGGTCTTAGGGCTCATTCCCAATCAAATTATAGGTTTGAATAGATCGTTCCAACTCTGCGGGGACTCTCGCTGAATGCAGTCAGATTAAAAGATTAACAAGCATGCTTGTATCATGCAAGTACGTTGAAACAAGGGGAGGCGCTTTAATCTTTTAATCTAATTGCATTCAGCGAGAGTGCCCGCGGAGTTAGATAATACACTGTACGTAGACCGACAGTTTTATTGGGAATAAGCCCTTAAAGCTTCATACTCAGCGTGACAGGAATGGTACGTAGTCCGCTAGGAACCCTAGTCCGTTCTCCAAAAGATGACTTAATAGAGGTGACATTTGCCCCATAAACTGACACCGATACTCCAGCTTGTGCTAATCATATGGGACCCCGGACTTTACTTCCAAGGACTACCATTCACAAGTTAGGTTATACAATAAACAAGGACAATTTTCGTTATGCCTGACGCGAATCTAAAGTGGCATCCTTTCGTCCAGTTTCCTGAAATAAAATCAATCATTTTTAGATTATTTAAGTGCATTTCGAGGAAATTTCATTTAAAGTTTACCCTGGGATTTCTGTATAAAAGCCCTGCTGAGTTGCAAATTGGAGTTGGGAGCTTGAAAGCCGGTTCTTCGAACACACATACACACTTTTTTATAACGCACATTTCTAATACTTTTTTTTAAATGTACGTCTGTTATTTAAATCAAATGGCATGACTCACAAACCTGAATGAACCAACAGTGTTCATATTG